CTATTTAGGAATTGTTTTTCATTATCAGCCTTAATGTTATCCGCTATGATTAATTTCATAAAATTCAAACACAACCTATTTGATCGCTCACATACCCTACGGAGAGTTACCTCTACTTCGGAGCTCTCACCAATAATGGTTGTGGGCACTTCATCAGTAATTAGAGTATATCCAAATTCAGTGCACCTAATTGAAAATGTATATGCCCAGACCATTCATTGAAGTTCAGCCCATTGAATTTTTCAATAATAATACTTGACGGAAAAATTAAATTTAAACACTGCAAACTTTGATACATGCTATTTAATTAAGCTTTGAGAGAAAATTAATGGATTCAGAAATCTTTCAAATTATATATTTAAATATACCTTTAGGCAAATACTTAAATATATAATATACTTGATTGATGCCTAAGAAGAAAAATCTTTAATAGAAATTATAGGGTCTTGTGATTAATTAGTGGTTATCTTTAGACAAACACGCTAATTAACCTTACTTTAATTATAATTTCCCTTTTATATATATTAATCCTTGATAGAGATTATACAAACTTGAGTCAACTAGCGGTTATCTTTGGACAAACACGCTAATTAACATCACTTTAAGTATAACTTCTCTTTTTAAATATTAATCCTTAATAGAAATTATATAATTCTGATCAATTAGAGGTTATCTTTGGACAAACACACTAATTGACCTAACTATAATTATAATTTCTCTTTTAGTTGTCATAAACTATAAACCCATGGCCCACCTTTGGGTGTCCTCCTAGTTTATAATCCATGACATCAAGTATTCAAATATCATAATTTAAGAGACTTTAATAAGACATCCTTTTATATTTGAATAATCGATACTTCTATCTAATGCAATTATCTAATCTATAAGTTGAACTAGGCCACTTTGGTGACTAACAAGTTCCTTTACATAGATAATATAATTAGAAAATAATTAATATTTTTTTTATCTAATTTTAATTATCTATTCCATAAATTAAACTAGGCCACTTTGGTGACTAACTAGTTTCTTTATATAGATAATATAATTAGAAATTAATTTATTTAATACTTATATTATGAGATTAGTAGACTTTAATTAATCTCCAAACTCATGTGCTATAATATGTAAACAATTGAATAATACTCTCAGAACTTGTGAGTAAAATCAATATATTCAATTGGATTTATGCAATCAAATAAAAGCCATCTTAATTTGATTCTCTAATTTGTCATACAAATAACAGCACTATGAGACTTTAAAACATGTACGACACCAAAGAACAATTGAAGTCACTTGACACAGGTTATGGAATTAATTTTTGTGTTCCTCATGAATAACAGACACCACACCATATCATCATATATATATATATATTCAGGAGAAATACAATTGGGTTCATGAAAATCCATAGTCCAGCACTAATTTAATTATCGTGCGCGGAACATGTTCTTGGCTGCGAAGGAACTTTAATTCGCGGCAAACTACAATGGCATCAAATATATCGCAATATGTAATCGGGAAAAAGAAATTCACACGGATGTTCCACAAAGTTTTAATTGGCAAAATAATCATACATAAACACATGCTCTGATACCACATGTAAGAAATTTAACGGGTATATTCATAACTATTAGGCGGAATTGAATAAACCCTAAGCATGTAATTCTATTAATTCATAGAACATGGATCTTTGCATGTATTAAATTGCACATAGAAACTTACAAGAATTCAGCTATAGTCCTTCCCTGTTCATCTTTGATGTTGATCTTTCTCTAATCTCCAATCCTCTTCCTCCAATCTCCAATGATGTATTTGTCTTTCTCTATGAATTGTAAAGCCCTTGATGTTGAGAACTTTATTTCGTATGAGATGGGAGAGAGGGGCATGTAGTAATATATATAGGAGGAGACCTACAATCCTATTCCTACAAACATTCCCCATGTTCTAACCTAACTTACTGTCCAAGTCAAACATCACACATTGGACTCTTTAATATTAGAACATTAAATAATCTATTAAATACATATTCATCTTTAATAAAGTTTGACTATTAATTCAATTAGGTCCAACTAATTATATGGTCCACAATAAAATATTATTACATATGCTTCCAAGGTTCTCATAACTTTCACCACAAATTTGTTGGTTCTAATCAGAAGGCAACACAAACAGAACAAGAAAAAATAATATGTCCTCAATGATAGTACCATAATTCATAATCACCTTCTGTAACGCTAGGACTTATCACGAGCCGTCCGATAAAAAGCCAAACTCCAAACAGCACCTAACGCTCTGCTGCACAATGTCTTGAATGCTATAATCGAATTCAAATCCTAAGTCTCTTATCTTCTTCGAGGAAATCTCGCTAGGGATCGATTTCATTTCCTCCGTGCTGTCAAGCCTACAAAACATGCAAGAAAAAGTCGAATCAAATTTGAAACTTTTATCTTTTCTTTTCTTTTTTGGTTTTTTAAAGTCAAAGTCCCGATTCCCAACCTCGGCGTAATTGGACAAGGATGCCCGTTTTTTATGAGCTCGACCAATTCTGACAAAGTACAGCTTCGAGTGCAGCATATATAACGACCTTCGGCATTCGCGTGCTCCATGAGAAAAACATGCGCACGGCATATGTCTTCAATGTGAACCAACGCAATCGAACCCATTCTTGAATTTACGGAATTAAGTATCGAGAGAAACTTAGAGTCACCTAAAGCAATCCAATCACATGAATTTTTATTGAGAGAGACTTTTACATTTCTATTACATTTGCTTAAACATTTTGAGATACTCTCGAAACAAAAAAAGGATCGACTCGAATTTTCAAATAAGGAAATGTAAAGCCAAACCTGTAACTGGTGACATCAGAACTCGAATGCTTGTTGGAACAGTTGGCGTTAAAAACGAGCCGCCTACAGTCGTTGTTATGACAGATATCAAATCAATTCCGTTTTCCTCTGCAAACTGAAAAGCTGCCCTTTCTGTTACTAGCTTCGAAAGCACGTAAACCTGAACAAGAACAATATTTTCTATCATGTGAAAATCATGTGCAACTAGCTAAACTACCGAAAAATTCGAGATGAAAAAATAAAATAAAATATACCCAGCCGCTGGCTTTAGTCTTTAGTACTCGATCAATTGGCGTTTGGCAAGATTCATCCACCACTTGTATCCATTCACCCGAGCTATCTTTCGCCGTCAATGTGCTTATTGATGAAGTAAAAACGACTTTACGGATGTTCGATTTTAGACAAGCTTTGAGCACATTCAGTGTCCCCCTAATGGCTGGATCTATGACATCTGTTTTTACATGGCTTCCTTGAAGAACGAAACACAACAATTAAAACGATAAAGAGAAAATTATAGTTTGATTGTAACTATATGATGTAGAGCGTAGTACAATCGGGAAGAATATGAGATACTCTCTAGTAAATGAAAACGAACAAATTTTCAATTCAACAATAATCTAATTTTTTTCAAATACGGAGCCAGCCATATTTATTCAGATACGTAATGGCCGTCTCGTCTTCGTCACTATATAAACTAAATTTGCATTAATTAGCGCGGCTACACATTACCAACATTTCTTTCTCGATTTCAAACTCCAACCGCATATATATTTACGTCGAAATAAAACATGTTTTTTCAACTAACGGGCTAAACGCAGTGACGAGTTACCAAGATCTTCTCGGGAAGTAGAGACGTCGAATTCCATAGAGGCCGCAACATGAAAAACGCCGTCACAGCCTCTTACTGCATCATCGAAGCTTCCATTTTCATGCAAATCGGCTCGGAACAGACTCAGCCGGGCCCCACCTTGCCACCACTGCAACAAACCAGTTGCCTTCTCTGGAAAATATAACAATCAAACCATTATCCCCATTTATTTTTTATTTTATTTTTTTTCATTTACAGCTTATCAGATATGTTGATTCTCATTAATTTTCTACCTCCTGTCATTAGTAAAATGCAATCCATTTTTTTATCTAAGGACACACTCTTGGCTCGACTCGACTCGACTCGCCTCGTTTAATAAACCTACAAATCCTAACCGGGCTGTTTGCGATTAAGCTCATCTCACGGCTCATTTAAATAAAGACAAAAATCAAAGTCGAGACACGTAAAAAAATATTATACCAGGATTTCTGAGTGTGGCGTGAACTTTGAAGCCTCTTTGCAGAAGAGATTTAACGAGCCATGATCCAATGTAACCCGTCGCCCCTGTTACACAGTATGTGCTGCTAATTCCCTCATTACTATTTTCCATTTTTTCTTCAACTAATTAATAATAATAATAATAATAATAATAATAATAATTCAGTATATATAAATTTGCTGGTTTTTCTAGTGTATTCCAAAGTTTATATTATATTTTAGGAAAATATATAGTTTTTTATATTATGAAAATCTATATATTTGACTATTGAGTCGGTGAGTAGTGACCATCATCTACTGCTACTACTTTAATATACTATAGTTGGGCATCTTTCTTAATTTAGGGATTGAGTTGGACATGTGTCCTCATGCAATTGGCTATCAATTTCTCTTTTTCTTTTCTTTAAGATGCTTGTCATCCCAATGCATGTGTTAGAGATGGTCATGGGCCTAACAGATTCAGAACCGGACCCGGGTTTTTATCGGGCCGGTTCAAGTTCATGTCTTTACATAAATTGAACAGTCGGTTTTAGTTTCGGATACGAATCGAAGCCGATGGAACGACGAATTTAAATATTAATATTTTTATTATTGTTTGTCGGGCCATTTTAGAACCGTGATCTGCCGATTCACCCTTATATATACACGAATCGGTTCGGAATCACATAAAAAAAGAACCTGAACTGACTGTTTTGACTCGAAACCCACGTTTAGCCATCTCTAGCATTTCACCCATAAAATTATCATTTTTCCTACTATATATTATATTAAACGCCTTATAGCACCTCAAAAAAAAAAAAGAAGAAATTAGGATCACAATTTAGTTAGTATTTACCGTTGATTATGATTTCAGGCACAGATTAAATTCAAGAAAGATACGATTGACATGCAATGACCTAGATGAAGTCCAGATAGGGCTGCAAACGAGTCGAGCGGCTCACGAGCCGCTTGCAAGCGCTCGAGTCGAGCTCGAGCATATATTTTGCCTTGTCGAGCGACTCGAGATATACGTTAATGACAAAAATACCCCTTATTATATATATATTAGCATATGTGCTTAATGGTAATTTTATCTAATTTTCGAGCCGAATTCGAGCCGAGCTCGAGCATTTTGATTTCGAGTCGAGCACGAGCCCAGCTCGACCTATTCTAATTTCTTATCGAACCGAGCTCGACGAGCTCGAGCTCGAGCAGCTAAAAAAAAACTCAATCCTGCTCGATAACGCCAATGCTCGACTCGACTCAGCTCGTTTGCACCCCTAGGTCTAGGGAGTAGGGAGGGCCCGTGGAACCCCCCCTCAATTTTTTTCAAAATTCATTATATATATACATATACAAAATTACAAGGGATAATATGAAAAAGTATTTAAAATATGTGAATAATTTAGACTTATTTTCAATGCCATTTTAATATAAACTAATGATATTTTTTATTTGCGGTAAAATATATAATAATCTTTATATTTTACATTTCAAGATAACATTTTAAAAATATGTATAATGATTTACTCTTTGAGACTCTAAAATGTAAATCAATTTAATGATTTAGTTGGATTGTAATATTTTTGAATGTTGGTTTCTT